TATTATTATAGATTCGAACCAGTCAGTTTGAATCAAATCAAATCAGTTCAAATCAAATTATATATTTGAATCAGTTCAAATTGTATCAAATTATATATTCAAATCTGTTTGAATCAAATCGAATCAATCTGAATTTGAATCTGTTCAAATTAAATTATATATTCGAATCAGTTCGAATAGAATTGAATTGAACCAAAGTACAATTCGATTTGATTTGAATTCGATTTGAACTGATTCAAATCAAAAATTAAGTGATTCAATTCGATTCAAATTCGAATTGGTTCAAATTGGTTTGAATTTCATTGATTTGTTCAGAGCCTTATATATGAATCTCAAAGTTTAAATATACAAATTTTCAAAGGGACTTTCTTATAAAATATTTTATGTTTATATGTAGGTATTGCTGGATTCCCACCTAAAATTATTATATAAAATTTAAGGTTTGGGATAAAGATTTAAGCAATTAAAAAAATTTATGATATAAAAATAGTTGTAGAATTAATTTTATCAAAGAAAAATATAAATATGTTATTTCTATTTAGTTTTTAATAATTACTAATGATTTTAATAATGATAATATTATTTTGCATTAGCAGAGAGAATTAGAGAGAATTAATTATTGATGAAAATAAAAATGAAATTAAAGTGAAAGGTATAGAAAAATTATATTACAGTCATAATGATTAGTATTATCATATCAAACAAAAAAAACTTATCATTAGTAATTTTAACTTTCAACTCCAAGTTTTATCTGGGCACTTCTTTCACATAACTGTGCTGTATATCAGGTTATCCATCCTTGTATAGTTGATAGTTTTGGTAAATCTGAGATCTCAATTTTTCCTTCTACTTTTAGTTTCAAAAAATCTAACATCTCTTGTGCATTCATCTGACAGCTCTTATCAATATTTCCAGCCAAAAAGCACTGTTCTAAAGTAAGTACAATACTTTTTTTCATACATTTACCACAACCCTTTTTACCATATTTTTGAACTTCCTTCAATGCCCAGCCAATTATTAATGGAAATTCAGATGCTTCCAATTGTCTGTGGTATATAAATTATTTAATTCCATTTATCTCTTTTGAAGCTAAAAAATTTTTCCATCTAAACTTACCTTATTTCTTCTTCTTTATTAGACATATTTGGGTTCCTCAAATGTGAGCCTAAAATTGTGTAAGTAAATTTTATCGTTAGTTTCATTGAAATTAAGCAAAAATAATATAAAAATATCAAGTACACATATATTACCTTCTATACTTGCTAATGTTTCATGTCTCAATTCTTCATCCAACACTTCTATCAATTTCTGTCATTTATTTTGATTCACATAGTCAATCCTTGATTTTCTAATTCTTTGCTCAACTCTCTTGATGATAATCTTTTGGGGCAAATTCCTAATATTTTGATATAAATTTAGAAATCAACCAGGTATATTCAACTGATTTATGAAAATTACCTGATGCATGTGGAATAGGTATTTTCCATGGAGATTTTGGTGTGATGGTTGGTTGATTTCATTTTTCAGTATTAGGGCTGGAGAAAATGATAACCATCTTCCAATATTTGGTATTGAACATGCCTGAATATATCCTGCATTGTCACCTTCAATTGGCCAACTCCATTCAAACCAATTGGATATACCAGATATGGTCATAGATTTTTCTTTTTCTTTTTTATCTGAGGTAACACAAATTATCATCATTTATTATAACTAAAAGGTTTTCTCTGAACATGATGATGTAAATTTTTCTAATTTATTTTTTTTGTTTATATAACTCAGAACTTACCTCTCACATGGTTTGGCTCTATATGGGCAAATGAAGTGCCTGCAACATTTTCAATAGCTGAGGTAATATCTTTTCCTTCTTGAATTTCTCCACCAATTTGAACATGCATTTAATTGAAAGTGATATCTAATTAATCATTATTAGCAATCTTTTTTAAAAATTATTTTTATATTGCTTTAAATTTCAAACATGAGCATGATGAGAGTCCACCAGGGCGCAAAATGTACTTAAATTTTGCAGGTTTTTCCGGTTTAGAATTCAAAATTCCAGTAAAAATTGGAAGAGCTGGTCAAAAAATTAGGAATTTCCAGTAATAGAAAAATTATTTTATTGTGAAACCAATCATTTTAAAAAATTTTTTTAAAAAATAAAATATATATATCTATATCTAAGGATATTATATTATTTAATGGTTATACC